AGAGTATATAGTGCAGGGGTCAGGAGTATGTAATGTACAACATAGAGTATATAGTGCAGGGGTCAGGAGTATGTAATGTATGTACAACATAGAGTATATAGTGCAGGGGTCAGGAGTATGTAATGTACAACACATAGAGTATATAGTGCAGGGGTCAGGAGTATGTAATGTACAACATAGAGTATATAGTGCAGGGGTCAGGAGTATGTAAATGTACAACATAGAGTATATAGTGCAGGGGTCAGGAGTATGTAATGTACAACATAGAGTATATAGTGCAGGGGTCAGAGAGTATGTAATGTACAACATAGAGTATATAGTGCAGGGGTCAGGAGTATGTAATGTACAACATAGAGTATATAGTGCAGGGGTCAGGAGTATGTAATGTACAACATAGAGAGTATATAGTGCAGGGGTCAGGAGTATGTAATGTACAACATAGAGTATATAGTGCAGGGGTCAGGAGTATGTAATGTACAACATAGAGTATATAGTGCAGGGTCAGGAGTATGTAATGTACACATAGTATATAGTGCAGGGGTCAGGAGTATGTAATGTACAACTACATAGAGTATATAGTGCAGGGGTCAGGAGTATGTAATGTACAACATAGAGTATATAGTGCAGGGGTCAGGAGTATGTAATGTATGTACAACAATATAGAGTATATAGTGCAGGGGTCAGGAGTATGTAATGTACAACACAGAGTATATAGTGCAGGGGTCAGGAGTATGTAATGTACAACAGAGTATATATAGTGCAGGGGTCAGGAGTATGTAATGTACAACATAGAGTATATAGTGCAGGGGTCAGGAGTATGTAATGTACAACAGAGTATATAGTGCAGGGGTCAGGAGTATGTAATGTACAAACATAGAGTATATAGTGCAGGGGTCAGGAGTATGTAATGTACAACATAGAGTATATAGTGCAGGGGTCAGGAGTATGTAATGCAATGTACAGGAGTAGAGTAATGTGCAGGGGTCAGGAGTATGTAATGTACAACTACTACATAGAGTATATAGTGCAGGGGTCAGGAGTATGTAATGTACAATATAGAGTATATAATGCAGGGGTCAGGAGGATGTAATGTACAATATAGAGTATACAGTGCAGGGGTCAGGAGTATGTAATGTATAACAGAGTATATAGTGCAGGGGTCAGGAGTATATTAATGTACAACAGAGTATATAGTGCAGGGGTCAGGAGTATGGAATGTACAACATAGAGTATATAGTGCAGGGGTCAGGAGTATGTAATGTACAACAGTATAGAGTATATAGTGCAGGGGTCAGGAGTATGTAATGTACAACATAGAGTATAGTATATGCAGGGGTCAGGAGTATGTAATGTACAACAAGGAGTATATAGTGCAGGGGGTCAGGAGTAATGTAATGTACAACATAGAGTATATAGTGCAGGGGTCAGGAGTATGTAATGTACAACATAGAGTATATAGTGCAGGGGTCAGGAGTGTATGTAATGTACAACATAGAGTATATAGTGCAGGGGTCAGGAGTATGTAATGTACAACACAGAGTATATAGTGCAGGGGTCAGGAGTATGTAATGTACAACAGAGTATATAGTGCAGGGGTCAGGAGTATGTAATGTACAACAGAGTATATAGTGCAGGGGTCAGGAGTATGTAATGTAAAACAGAGTATATAGTGCAGGGGTCAGGAGTATGTAATGTACAACAGAGTATATAGTGCAGGGGTCAGGGGTAATGTCAGGAGGGTATGTAATGTACAACAGAGTATATAGTGCAGGGGTCAGGAGTATGTAATGTACAACATAGAGTATATAGTGTAGGGGTCAGGAGGATGTAATGTACAACAGAGTATATAGTGCAGGGGTCAGGAGGAGGTAAACATACAACATGTTGTAAAAGATACAACAGATAAGACTACAGGGATGTTGAAATTGTATCGCCCAATGCTGGGATATGTAGTTTCAGGCGCTGGGCAGGTAGTTTTGTTGAACCCTTAGCCCTGTTGTGGGCAAGCAGCAGGGCTCACCTGTCAGGTGAAAGTATTTTGGCGGAAGCGCTGCCGCCGATAGCTTCCACACATCCTATAGTTCTAGCCTCCCCCCCCCCCCCCCCCCCCGCATGAACCTTCCGCATCTACTGTCTCCCAGGCTCCACTTGCCCATCTGCTGGCCCAGGGGCCAGTTCACTGCCATCGGCTGGGGGGGGGAAATCAGACACGTCTGTTCCCCTCCTTGTCCTGACCCAGAAGTCACATTGGGGTTTATTTACTAAAGCTGGAGAGTGCAAAAATCAGACTCAGTTCTGCACAGAAGCCAATCAGCTTCCAGGTTGTTTTGCCAAAACTTAATTGAACAAGCTGAGGTTAGAAGCTGATTGGTTTCTATGCAGAAGTGAGTCTGATTTTGCACTCTCCAGCTTTAGTAAATCAACCCCATTATGTCAATTCTGGGTGCCGGTTGAGAGATTTCCCAGCCATAGAGGCCGGCAAAGAATGCAATGCAGTGCGGTGTGCAGTGCATTACATCCAGGGGAGTACAGGGGAGACACTGGAGGTCTTTTAGACCTTGGATGTCTCAAAAAAAAGAGAACCTGTCATCAAAGTAATTTTTTTTAATGGTAAAAATATTAAAAGTTACCGCAAAGCACATAACATCCCCTCAAAAGAAAAAACTGAGCCCCCCCCCCCCCCCACATATACGCATGTACAAATGTAAAAGCACATGCTGGAGAGTCTACACATGAAAACGTCGATTGCCATACACGTTACATATCACCGCACACGCCAGAATGAGAGCGATAATTCTTGCACCAGACCTCCTCCGTACTCTATACTGATGACCTGTGAGGGGCTTTGAAAGGGTCACCTATAGATAATATAGGGCACTGAAGTTCGCCATTTCACGAGTGCGCACACAAATTTCAGGTCTGACAAGCTGGATATCTAATTACTCGCTGCAATCTCGTCCTTTATATTTTACAAAATATAGGTCATTTATTGCATTTTTATGCCCTAAAAAAACTTACTTGTATTTTTTACTGAACTGTTGTTAATATATATATTATCTCATATTTGGGGCGTTTGTGTCATCTTCAGGTCTAAAATCATTTTTTAAACTTGTGAAGAAAAAACACAAAAATGGCTCTGGGAGTGAAAGGGATAAAGGATAAGCCGGACACTCCCCTTTCCTGAGGAGCAGCCAATCAGTGCTCATTACACTACAATGTCTCTCTCCTCCCTACTAGTCCTCTGGGGCGGGGCTGGAGACAGGTAGGGGGGAGGAGGAGATATACAGCACAATGGTAAAAATATTACATGTTTAAGTCACCATAAAGCCCCTTTTGATTGTATAACCGACATTCCTAATACGGTTTGGGTTACATTTTATTTTTATCTGGACAAGTAGATTGTCATGAGGGACAAGTAGATTGGAGACCAATTTATTCCGTGGACAAGTCATTATTTCAAAAATGTTAACACCCCCGGACTATATAGTCAGAATGATGTTATTTACATCGAATATATAGTGCAGGGGTCAGGAGTATGTAATGTACAACATAGAGTATATAGTGCAGGGGTCAGGAGTATGTAATGTACAACATAGAGTATATAATGCAGGGGTCAGGAGTATGGAATGTACACACATAGAGTATATAGTGCAGGGGTCAGGAGTATGGAACAACAACATAGATGTACAACAGAATATAGTATGTAAGTACAACAGAGTATATAGTGCAGGGGTCAGGAGTATGTAATGTACAACATAGAGTATATAGTGCAGGGGTCAGGAGTATGTAATGTACAACAGAGTATATAGTGCAGGGGTCAGAGGTATGTGCAGGGGTCAGGAGTATGGAATGTACAACATAGAGTATATAGTGCAGGGGTCAGGAGTATGTAATGTACGACAGAGTATATAGTGCAGGGGTCAGAGGTATGCCATGCAGGGGTCAGGAGTATGGAATGTACAACATAGAGTATATAGTGCAGGGGTCAGGAGTATGTAATGTACAACATAGAGTATATAGTGCAGGGGTCAGGAGTATGTAATGTACAACATACAGTATATAGTGCAGGGGTCAGGAGTATGTAATGTACAACATACAGTATATAGTGCAGGGGTCAGGAGTATGTAATGCACAACAGCGTATATAGTGCAGGGGTCAGGAGTATGGAATGTACAACATAGAGTATATAGTGCAGGGGTCAGGAGTATGTAATGTACAACATAGAGTATATAGTGCAGGGGTCAGGAGTATGTAATGTACAACATAGAGAGTATATAGTGCAGGGGTCAGGAGTATGTAATGTACAACATAACAGTATATAGTGCAGGGGCAGGAGTATGTAATGCACAACAGCGTATATAGTGCAGGGGTCAGGAGTATGTATGTAATGTATGTACAACATAGAGTATATAGTGCAGGGATCAGGAGTATGTAATGTACAACATAGAGTATATAGTGCAGGGGTCAGGAGTATGTAATGTACAACATAGAGTATATAGTGCAGGGGTCAGGAGTATGTAATGTACAACATACAGTATATAGTGCAGGGGTCAGGAGTATGTAATGTACAACATACAGTATATAGTGCAGGGGTCAGGAGTATGTAATGCACAACAGCGTATATAGTGCAGGTGTCAGGAGTATGTAATGTACAACAGAGTATATAGTGCAGGGGTCAGGACTCATAATATTGTTATTCATTAATTAAAGGTCCTTAAAGGATTGCTTGCCTCCCATCTCCTGAGACTGCACTCAGTGACTTGGGTCTGAGACACTACAGACATATCCCTCCACCCGGCACAGCCAGCAGATAACAGAGAAGGTCCCCTGGAAGAGTCAGGCACAAGGCAGGAGACCCCAGTCACATGTCCTGGGTGCCTACATTATGAATGCAATGCTTATAGGAAAAATCAACATTTTGCTGCCAGCTGAACCCCAGAACCTCCATAAATCCAGTCTAGAGACATAAATTGTGTCTGCAGCACAGAGAAGGAAGATTATCCGAGAGAAATCCAGGAATACAGGACGGGGAACACAGCTCAGGAAAGTGACCAGGGGATTACAGGCTGATATCACCCAGTCCCCGCCCTACTCTGGACCAATCAGTGAGCAGTATGGGTGGAGGAATGGATTTAGTGTTCATGACCCACCTGTGCTGATCTCTGTAGGAGTGTCCTCCTCTATAAATGTCCCCGTTATTCCATCCTCCTCCATAGACTGCTGATCATCCCTCACATACGCCTCTTCTTCTTCTGCTTTCACCTCAAATTCTATATCGATTGGATCTCCACTCTAAATCAAGGAAATGAGAGAAAATATCATCTGTAAAATGTAAGGCCACATAAAAAATCCACACATCATCATCACATGTCCATGTTCTAGATGCTCCATCCCACCGACCTTGTAATAGTGAGGGATGGTGTGACCTTCCTGTGTGGAATCCCGGGAATACAGAGGACGGGGACATCTCTCTGGTGGGTTCCTGGTATTAGGTGGCTCCATCATATCCTTGTGTCCTTCTGAAAACTCCTCCATCACTCCATACTCCTCATCATCCTCCTCTTTATACTCTTCTTTACATCAATATTATCATCCCCGAGGATTCCACTCTGAAAGATATAATAAAACATTCATTGTAACAAACATGCTGTGTATAAATCACAACTACCAATAATTGTCATCATCTACCTGATGATGGTGAGGGGATGGTGTGACCTTCCTGTGTGGAATCCCGGGAATACAGAGGACGGGGACATCTCTCTGGTGGGTTCCCATGACTGGATCCATCTGTAGGAAACACACACACTGACTGAATCCATTGTTTTCTATGTGTTTATCAGATGATGGGGGATCTAGGTGGATCCTCCGTACTGCTCTCTCCTTTACAATAAAGTCTCCTCTTACCCGGTGAAGGGGCGGCTGATTGTCCATCATGACGTCCTTGTAGAGATCCTTGTGTCCTTCTAAATACTCCCACTCCTCCATGGAGAAATAGACAGTGACACCCTGACACCTTATAGGAACCTGACACACACAATGATACAGTCACCATCCAGACACATCCCTTGTCTGTTACTGGAGAATGTCCCAGAATTCCCGGCACCGCTCACCTCTCCTGTCAGCAGCTCCATCATCTTCTTGGTGACTTCTAGAATCTTCTCCATGTTTTGTGTCTCTCAGGGTTTAGGGAGTCACATGGAGGCACTGTGATGGTCATATGATCACCTGACTTCAGAAGAGGAAATCTCTGTATTGAGGAACCAATAAGAATATCATGTTAGACTCCCAGAATCCTCCTCACCTCTCCGGTCAGGTCTGTGTTTTTTTTAATAGAGATCAGAGAGTGATGTCATGTGACCTCCCAGAATCCTCCTCACCTCTCCGGTCAGTCAGTCCGTCCTCACCTCTCCGGTCAGGTCATTTTTAATAGAGATGAGAGAGATGTCATGTGACCTCCCAGAATCCTCCTCACCTCTCCGGTCAGGTCTGTGTTTTATTAATAGAGATCAGAGTGATGTCATGTGACCTCCCAGAATCCTCCTCACCTCTCCGGTCAGCAGGTAGATGATCTCCAGGGTGAGGTTTAGTATCTTCTCAGTCATGTGACTCCGGTCCTCCTCCATCCTCATTGGTGCCATCATGTGATCTATACAGGTCTCCTTGTAGACGGATAACTTTGGGAAATGAAAGTAAGAATGATTTGGATGGTATTGGTCACACAATAATAGGATGTGGATGTGAGGGGGGAATAGGAGGGTTGCTGGACATTGAAGAACTACTCTCCCCATGGGAAGACATTTAGTCTGAACATTTTAGTATTTACTACATCTTGGAGGTCCCGGGACTCCATTTTTCTGCCATATCAGAAATCCCCTTTTCTCTGTTGGGTTTGTTTGGTCTCTGAACTGGTTTTGATGAGTTTTAGATCTGCAGACAAGGAATGATAAATACGATCCTTCCTATGACTTGTTTGCTCTGAGGCAGTGCTGTGCTATGAGATCAATGTCTGGTCATCATGATGTCCAGGAAGGGGAATTTGTTGACTTTTCACTGAAGCAGCTAATGAGGATAATTGGCAGCCTGCTGACTGACAGGAGTGAGGTCACTGTCACTCTCTGCAATAAGAGAAGGGATTGGATTGGATAGCAGGAGGTTGCTACTGGTGGAGTAGATAGCTGTGGGGGAGGAGTCTGTTCTCTTCCCTCCAATTACAACCCAGTGTGGGTCGGAGGAGAATAGCAGAAGGGAGGGGTTAGTTCTCTTCATTGCCAAGTATACTGTAGTACACAGGACATTGTACAGAGTGGTGGTGGGTTCCTGGAGCTCTGAATTCCAGCACCGGGCACTGCCAGAGCCTGTGTCATGGGAAGGTATTGGAGTGTCTCCTGAAGATGTATAGAACTGATCCCCTGACTACATTTTAGTCAATAATGTACCAACAGACCTCCTGTAGGAACAAGTGCTCACCAAGGGGTGAAGCACTGCCCTCCTTCATTCCACTTGGTATCTTGGAAAATATTACCAGTGAGATGGTCACCTTCCTTTCCTGGTAGGAGTTCTGTAAGGAGGTCTGGAAAGTAAATACAGGTGGGAGAGCAATCACCAAGAGCCCCCCTCCCTATCTCAGAGTCCCCCTGAGCCTGACAACCTTTTCTTCCCTCAGAGCCCTTCTCCCCCACCAACCCTATCCACCCAGATTCCTTCAGCTACTCTACCCCCTCAAAGCCCTTGAGCTCCACTGCCCCGTTAGGGGCCCTAAAGTCTCTCATCCTCAGTATCCCCTGAGAGACCCCTCAGCTCCTCTACTTCCCTCAGACCCCCAGTATTTCCCTCCCTCTGACACCAATGATGGAACATATTCTTCATGGCAGGCTGGGGAATGTTTCCTTCCTCCTGACCAGCAATGTAAGGGGCTCTATGCTCCATACTCCTGACCCCGGCACTCCATCATTGTGTTGGCTGCATAGTGTAATGATTGCCCATTGGCTGCCTGTGTAGTGTCATCATTGCCCTTTGTAGGCCATGTATGGTCAGGATGGTCCTTGTCTTGTCTATTTATTGTCAGTGCTGTTTGTTTAGAGGACCATATTACTAGAATTTATCTCCACAATGAGGAGAATGTTCCGGCCCCGGAAGTGGGGGAATGTTCTGCCCCTGAAGGGGTTCATCTGGGTTCCCCCACACTATATATGTGTGTATCATCATCTGCTGGAGATAAAAGATATCACAATGACTATGGAGGAAGAGGACGGATATGACTATGGAGGAGAGGACAGACATGACTATGGAGGAAGAGGACAGACATGACTATGGAGGAAGAGGACGGATGTGACTATGGAGGAAGAGGACAGACATGACTATGGAGGAGGATGGACATGACTATGGAGGAAGAGGACGGATGTGACTATGAGGAGGAAGAGGACAGACATGACTATGGAGGAAGAGGATGGACATGACGGGGGTGTCACGGACTGCCAGTGCCTCTCCCATCCCCCGCCATATCCCTCCACCCCTCCCTTCCCCCTTGTACATTAGAAGGTCTGTGGGGCTTCCATGGACAGGGCTGGGTCAGCCGTTGCCGAGGCAACCTAGCCGCGTCCCACATGATCTTCAAGAGACCCACACAGGAAGCAGCCTTCCCCTTTTGTTCCTGGCCATGCGGCTAGAATCTTCTTGCTCCCAGAAAGATGTTGGGAGGCTCGGGTGAGGGGGACCGAGCCTGCCCAGCCACCCCCCCTGCGCACTCTGCAGACCCCCAAAAGGTCAGGACTGTAGCCCTCTGCAATACCCCAGGGTTGGGAGTCTCCACAGCTCTGCATGAGCCTTCTCCTCAAAGGTCAGACCCCACAGCTGAGACCCTGCCAGTCCGTAAGCCTGTCTACTGGGCACCCTGTCTGCTGCTGAGAGTACCCTGGGAGCTGCTGCTGAGGGAGCCTGCATACTATCCGTGGCTGCGTGTCCCTGGAGGCTGTCTGCTGCTGAGTGCCCTGGGAGCTGCTGCTGTCTGCTGATCGCTGGTTGTCCCTGGAACGCTGACCGCTGGTCGTCCCTGTCTGGAGCCGCCTGCCGCTGAGGGTCTGCAGCTGCTGCTTACCGTGAGTGTCCTGAACTGTCCCCGCTGTGTGCACCAACCACCTGTGTCCTGAACTGTTCCCGCTGTGTGCACCGACCACCTGTGTCCTGAACTGTTCCCGCTGTGTGTGCCGACCACCTGTGTTTTGAACTGTTTCCCGCTGTGTGCACCAACCACTCATGTCCTGAACTGTCCCCGTTGTGCGCACTGACCACCCGTGTCCTGATTGTAACTGTTCCTGTTGTGTGCACTGAACCTTGTGTCCTGAACTGTCCCCGCTGTATGCACTGACCACCCGTGTCCTGAAATGTTCCTGTTGTGTGCACCGACCACCCATGTTCCAATGTCCCTGGTGTGTGCACCGACCACCGTGTTCCCGCCGCCCCGCTGTGTGCACTGACCACCCGTGTCCTGATGGCATGCCCGGAGTATAGCTACCTGTGGTGCCCCTGAGTACTTGAGCCATCGCTACCCGTTGAGTCCCTGTGAACCCAATGACCCTAGAAAGCTGGGTGGGGCTGTACTGTGGCCAGCCTCCACAGCTAGAGTCCCATTGAATCCCCGAGGCCCCTGCCCAGTGGTAGGTTTGCCGCATGTTGCCCGAGGCCCCTGCCCAGTGGTAGGTTGCCGCATGTTAAAGGCCCCTGCCCAGTGGTAGGTTGCCAGGAATGCCTGTTGCCCGAAGCCCTGCCCAGTGGTAGGTTGCCCGAGGCCCCTGCCCAGTGGTAGTGTCAAGGTCCTACCTTTTCCCTGAGGTTATGTTACTCCATGTGCTGCGTCCATCTTGGATTCTGCTGTGCATGGTGGGAATCCTTTTATGCCCTTCAGTCTCTGCCCATCCCCCAGAGGGGTGTTGCCTGATGACATATGCCCTGAGGCCCCGCACATGCTCTTTGCACTTGTGTCTTGTGTCTTTGTCTTGCTACAGCTCTGTGTATACTGCTCGTGACTCTTCTGGTATCTGACTCTGCTTGTGTGCCCAGTTTTGATCTGACCTTCCGTTGCTGAACCCGGCCTGTTGACCCTGCTACTGTCCCTGTTTCCCAGTTTTGTCCCGTTGTTTGTCGACCCGGCTTGCCTGATTCCCTATTGTCATTCTTGCTACACCCCATTGGCGGCGGCCATTACCGCAGCTGGGGTGTCCGATTGCCCGCGACCTGGTTCCTGGGCATGTCCTGACCCCACCATCAGGGGCCCTGGTGAAGGGAGCCTGGGACTTAGACTCCGCGCCCTGAGGGACTCTCGGGTGGTGGTTTGGTTCAGTTTGCGTTACCACTGCCACTAGGGCCTACCTGTCCGTTCCACAGCCCTGCCCTGACAGTAGGTTGCCGTCTGTTGTCCGAGGCCCCTGCCCAGTGGTAGGTTGCCGCATGTTGCCCTTTAAGATTGCCACATGTTGGTAGGTTGCCCAGTGGTAGGTTGCCGCATGTTGCCCGAAGCCCCTGCCCAGTGTAGGTTGCCGTCTGTTGCCCGAGGCCCCTGCCCAGTGGTAGGTTGCCGCATGTTGCCTGAGGCCCCTGCCCAGTGGTAGGTTGCCACCTGTTGCCCGAGTCTCCAATCCGCTGTCCAGTCACGGAGGAGAGAGAGCCTCGGCTGAGGCCCCAAGCCTAGGGGGGGAAATTGCCTGAGACTTCGATCACTTCCTGTCTGTATTCCATAGAAGTGAGATCACCATCTTGTGAGTTTAGAGTAACCGCAGCCCCGAGAAACGTCCCATAATAAACATTCCAGCATTGTATCTACCTTACAGGGATACCACAGAAGTTCCAATTAAAAAATAAATAAATTAAATAAAACTATTATGCAGCCAAATGTTTAACAAAGATATTTTTTACATATAGAAAAGTCTTAAAGACACAGAACACAAGATAAAAACAAAGGTATACATAATAAAACAGAGACCTCCAAAACTGATCTTTTTGGGTAAAAAAAAAAATGCAAAAATACATCCTAAAGTATAAAAATATCTATCAATCCACTCATAATGAAGATGTTAGACATAAATGACAAGGATGTAATGGTCACAGAGGAATGGTGGTGGAGATCTCTCAAAGTAAGAACACTTCCTTGAATGGTTCTATAAATAAAGAATGAATCCTGGAGGGAATAAAGCTGTAAAGCAATAAATAATATATAAACTGGGCCATCCACTTCATCCATAAAGACATTGTGATTGAAGATCTTCTAGATCACATAGAAGGAGGACTCATCCATGATTTCATACATTTGTTTGGAAGGATAGAACAATCCTCAGAAGGGAACATGTAGGATGACAGGAAAGGCTCCTGACTGGTGAGATCCTCCAAACATAATGATGACATCCATGAACTGGAGCGAGCTCGTTGGGTGATAAAGCCAATCTGGAAACACTGTGTAGACGTTCTCCAAGAACTCAGCACACTCCAGGTGTGGAGAAAGTCTCCAGGTGGGTTTAGCCTGTCATTTATCATAGGTAGAAATGTCCACACATGGACTTCCACAGGGACCCCCGAGACTACATATAGAACCTGTACAGTGTCCCCTGTAATGAATTGCTTCCCACCGGCCTATAGCAGAATGACAGATACAAAGAAACATACAGAGGGTGCACCGGCCTAGTGCATTACCTAAATGACATTTATTAATAAAAGTAGCAGATACTGATATACTCACAGACAACAATGATGTAAAAGCTCATCATAAAGAACAGCAATATCCAGTCCTATCCTGATGTGG